TTTAAGAATCGACAGAAATGAGGTAATTTTTTGTGAAAATAATATTTGAATATATTTGAATATGATGTATTTTTAACATCTCTTTTTTTTTTTTTTTTTTTTTTACGCGTATTCTATTTATTTAAATAATTTAATAGATCGGAATTGAAGGATATGTATCCCTACATCAAGTTCTAATATCCCGTCAAAATACAACACTCCAAAATCTTGGATATCCATTAAAAGATCTACAAACTCATAATGAAAATTTAGATGCTAAATTAACAACAACGTCATCAATTTCGAAAACAAATCAAAAAATTATTTCAGAAAAACAGAAGGGTAATTTCAAACAAATAATTGATGAAATTATGTTTACCATTGAAGAAAATTCGTATAGAATATCGAAGACAGCAATGATTAATAACACCTTAAAAAAATGAAAAAATGAAATGTAAAGTATTTTTAGAATTACATATAATATATAATTTTTTTCGCTTTTTTTTTTTTTTGTTTAGAAAAGTTATTAATTCGAACATATAAGTGAGCCTACCACCTCATAACTAATGTAGAACATAATTTTCACCTCGGAAATTTACTATTTTATATAAAGTTGGGTAATTTCAAAGAGACAGTAAATATTTAGATTAAAAAAATACATTTAACGTAAATTTAATGCTATATCACCAGGCCTAATTCATTTTGGCTTTTTTTTATTAAAGAAATAAAAATGTTTAATCTCAAATCTCAAAATTTTTGTTGTGCGAATCATTGATCTGATTTATTAGTTTGGTGTTCGATTTATGTTTAGCAACTTACGCGATCGTTTGAGCGAAATAAATCTATCACGTGGAATAAAATAATTTAATTGGATGTACGTACGTACATACGTAACTCATTTGCATACTACCAGGGTTTTTAACTTAAAAAAAAAAATCTAGATATGAACTTATCTGTTATTAAATCTGAAATTTGATAATCTATATTTGACCTTCGACGTGTCTCGTGACGTGGCTTTCTTATACAGGTCTTATATCAAATTCGGACATTATAGCAATCAAATTCGGACATAGTAACAATCAAATTCGGACATAGTAGCAATCAAATTCGAACAATTTAGCAATCAAATTAGAACATTCTAGCAATCAAATTCGGACACTAAAGCAATCAAATTCGGACACTAAAGCAATCAAATTCGAACATTATAGCAATCAAATTCGGACATCTAAGCGATCAAATTCGAACATCTTAGCGATCAAATTCGAACATCTTAGCGATCAAATTCGAACATTATAGCAATCAAATTCAAACACTATAGCAATCAAATTCGGACGCTATACGTAACAATCGAATTTGGACACTATAGCAATCAAATTCGAACACTATAGCAATCAAATTCGGACGCTACAACATTCAAATTCGGACGCTACAACATTCAAATTCAGACACTATAGCAATTAAATTCAGACAATATAACAAAATTCGAACACATTCTATATACAGTATAACCTCGATATAACGAAGCTCAGGAGCTGAAGGGTTTGGTTTGATATATCAAGGTTTCGATCCATTGAGGTACCTTATTATAATGAATCTATATAGTCTCGGGCACCTTGCTATAACAAAGGTTTATAAGCTATACAGCTTGAGTCAATTAAATACTGTATATATGACTTATTATGAGAATAAGCCAATTAAATCTTAAGAGTTGAAAATTTCATGTTTTTTAGCTTTTTTTGTAAGTTTAAAATCAAAGTTTAAAATGAGTGAAGCTTCAGTAATAAGAACATAATCAAACTAGGCTTCAAAGCCAATAAAGAAGGTACTGTACTTTACAGAAACTTAAATATCTTAATATACAGTAACTGCATAGTAATGATGTAGTAATCACATAGTTACTATTAAATTTAATTGTAATTATATAGTTACTTTACAGTTACTGCACATTAAGAGATTTAAGTTTCTGTATAGTATTTATAAGGTTCATATGAATAATATATGATTACATGTATTTATTGTACATTATTAATGATGCTGCATTTCAATATGCAGCACATATACTGTAACTTAAAAAGAATCTATAAATTAAAGTCTTACATAATTAATACTGCATAAATTAATAATAAATTATTTCTAATACTATGTAAATAAAACTATAAATTATAAATGTGCTATTTAATCAATAGTTTCATCTTCACCCATCAAAATTTTCAACCCAAAATTAGATAACAGTAAACCTGGTAAACATTTCACCTGAATAATTAAAGTTATAACTTAATATTAACTATTGTATATAATATTGCTAACAATCAAACATAGTTTAGCACTCAGAGTTGTTATGTTACAATGTTTAATTGGTTTCAATTTTTTTTGGTATATGTCCAAAAAAATTAAAACCAATTTGATGTTGTGACATAACAACCCTAATAGCACTTGCTTAAATTCTAATTTACTTTAGATACAATACTTTGTTTAATTATATCTTAACAGAGTGTGAATACCATAAATTCTTCTTTATAAGGTAAGTTTAAGTATTTCTTTTCACTGTAAATAGCAATTGAAATACAGTAGTTAGCATATATTAATTATAAAAGGTTTGAAAATAAACTATTAATAATTTTAAACTTGGTTGAATCTATTATTAAGTGAAGAAACTGGGAAAATCTCAGCCTTTATAGGCTTAAGTTCATAAGGTAATATTCTATGAATATTATAAGAGTTCTTAGTAACTACAATTGTGGTGAAGGTGTCTACTAAAAGATCTATAGTAGGAGACTTGATTACCTGTTAATTTTAATAAGGTTAATGCATTCTTACAAAAAAGAATAACTATAAAATTAAAAAAAAAAGTACCCACCATTTTTTTTTTTTTTTTTTTTTAACGATCATGTCACAACTTTATTTTATAATATAGAATTTACATTTATAATAAATGTGGAATCTATTTATAGCTATGCTATTTTAAACTAAAGTGTGGCTCACCCGGTTGCCAATTGGTACCTATGTGCGACCTGCCAAAGTAGAATTGACCTCGCTGCTTCTTCTTTAACTACCTCAGATAAAGAATCCGCAGTTCATCAGCCTGGATCTACAGCCTGTCATGATCTATTTTAATTTTTATTCCAGCTGGACCATCTTCCGGTCCAAATCCATTTATTCACTTCGTCTGTTACTGCTTCAATTCTTTTTTTAGAGACTTCCCACCGGTTTTTCCTCTTCTTGTCCCCATTGGGTCTTCTTTCTGTCGTGTTTGAAAGATCTTCAGATCTACCTGCATTTTCCTTCTTTGAGCTTCTATCTTTCCGGGGTCTAGTACCTACCATTTTACTTTAACTTATAAGAATAATAAATTAAAATTTAAATATTCAATAGTCAAAAAAATCTAATTACTATAATAAGAATATCAGTTGATCTATTTGCACTAATCAATAACTCTCTATATTGCTACTTTGAATCAATTAGTCAATAATTAATAATTAATGTTGAGGTACTACAAAACAATATTATAATTATAAATATAGAATTCTTAATATAGTAGACATTTTATTATTTTTTTTAAAAAAAAAATCAATAATATTTATATATACTAATAGATACAAATATTTAGAATACAGTATTAGAAACTATTAAAAATTAATATGAGTAATTTTAAAAACTTATCTAAGAAAAGTTAATACTATGAATTTTTTTTTTTTTTTTTGGTATTAAGGTGACCTTTACAGTTGGGGACTTTTTATTAGATTATTAACTTCAGGTTACAATTACAACGAGAGTACATCAAGCCACATGTGTACTTTTGGTACCTAATTTAAGTAGTCTATCTGGGTTCTACACTAGCTACTATACCTGCAATCTAACTAGGAGATTATCTATTTAAGCTCTCTGGTTATTACTAACAAGAGTACAACTAGCCATATATGCAACTTTTAGTTGTCTATTTAAGTAGTCTGCCCTAGGTTCTATACTAGCTGCTGTATCTGCATCCCAACTATGAAGATACCTGTTTAAACCTTCTAGTTACAACTGCCTTTCATTCCTAATCTAACCAAGATGTAACTTACTATTCATATGTAGATTTTGTGACATTTAGATTTTGCACTCACCTTAGGACTTCATAACCATTTCTGGCTAATCTTTATCCACGAGATAAACCTAACAGAGTAGTCCATGTCCCATACATGTTTTTACCTACATGTTCAGTAACTTCTTGCCTAACTATGGTGCACCAAGTTACTTCACATCAAATGTGCCAAATTTGGGGTATATATAAATACTATTTAGCCAATCAGAATATGTTATATACTAATTATGATTGGATATAAAAAAAAATTTAAAAAAAAATTTTAAAATTTTTTATATTAAATACTAAAGTTTTAAAAGTATAATAGCTTTAAGCATTTAAAACTTTAAATCATAAACTTTTAAAAAACTTTTAACTAATAATTTAGATAGTACTAATAGAAAACAATAGTTTTTATCAGTTATATTTTTAAAAAATATTTAAACCTTAAGATTTTATAGATTTTTTAAAATAAATATAATTTTTGATGAGAAGTAACTTGGCACATTATAGTACCTGTTGTGCTGCCATCACTGGGTTTATATCTCAAGCTATCCTTTATGATACTGCTGTAACTCAGTTCATATTTCAAGCTACAACCTTTCTAATTAGTTTTCTAGGTTGATCTTTAGTATAACCAGGCAATATAGAAATACTATAAAATTATAATATAAATAAATAACTATTTAACTTAATTTATGCAAATTTGGGACTAGT